CCCCAAGTAGTTTATGGTGGTTGATAACAAGTTGGGAAACCATGAAGTTTAGCACATACACCCCTCGTAGCCTAAACCAATCCGTTCAAACGAATCCCCCTCATGCACTAACCAATCCCCCCTACCCAACTTGTTCCCGCCAGTGAATGTGCTAATCATTGTTAAGAGTTGTTATTTGCTTTTCCCACGGTATGGAATGATTTGCTGTGTGATGCTGTGACACATAGAGTATCTCCCCAAAACCTATAAAATCTCACTGAACAAAGGACTGGGACTCACTCCCTGGGACCGCTGCCTTGGAAAGGGTTGTGAGACCAGACTGGAGCTTGCAGTAAAGACTCCTGTGTGATTGCATGGGATTCGGCTCCTGGAGGCCTATTGGGGTCCCAGGAATCTGGCATCACACCCACACAGAAGGTCACTGCCCTTGTTCATCTGTGTCTCACCAGCACAGGGGGAAGGGACCACAGCAGGGCTGCAGCCACAGCCTCCACAGGTTGTGCAGGGTGCCCAGCTGCTGGGGAAGGGCTCAGGGACCGCTGATGCTCCTCCATGGCCTGCTGCACTCTGCCCACCACCTCGTGGAACCAGGGCTCTGAGTTGGTTGTAAGGACATGGTCTCCCAGGGTCTCTGCAGAGGTCAAGGAGCAAAGGCGGGTCAAGCTGGACCCCTGGTCCGCAAAGCACGGAAGACCCCTCCCCCTTGGCAGGCTCAGGCGCCCTCTGGCTGGACGAGCAGGGTCAGGAAGTGCCTGTTCCACAGAGTTGCTCCTGTGGAGGGACCAGGATCACAGAGAGATGACTGAGGACAACAGCAGGACTCAGCCAGGTGTCCTCAGGAGGTGAATAGCACCAGGGGCGGTGGCCCGTGCGTGGGTGGGCATAAGCTGCTCTGTCCTCTCCAGAGCAGAGAGAAGGCGGCCTCCAATTAGATCCCGCACAGACACATTCACTACAATGAGACCTGAGAGTGTGACATCCAGAGAGCAGAAAAGGGGGGAAAAGTTCTCTTGCTTTGCTAGCAAAGGAGAAACACAAGGAGCTCCCGTCCCAGAGGCTGGGATTCATCAGGAGGAGCAACATGGAGGTTTTCAAGGAGCTATTCAAAGGCTGATACCAGGAGAGCCCTGACTGGGTCCCTGGGCGCCCTGTGGCTGTGTGGGGATTCACTTCTTAATTTGGGAGCTATTCACTTCCTAGATCTGCTGGCGGACTTCTTCCTTTTGTGAGACATGGATAACTCAAGGTCATCCTGTTCCTTGCTGCAAAGATAGATAGGGAGAGGGAGAAGAGGAAAAGCAAACCATGTGCCCTTTCAAAACAAGCCTCAGAGCTCTTTCTAAAGGCGCAGTGGTCCTCTGCTGCACTGCTGCTGCTTCTACAATTCAGACACGAAAAGAGGACCCAGGCTTTGGGTCAAAAATTGGCAACACTGTTCTCTCTGGGACTTTTTTTTTTAAAGAGAGAGAGAGAGAGAGAGAGAGAGAGAGAGAGAATTTTTA